CTGAAGAAGATTTATTTGTCCATGCATCATTGGCATATTTTTCTATTTTCAGAGTGAGGTAGGACTGTATAAACTTTGCACCCAAATACCCTTGTTTGGATTGAAAAACAGAGAGGAAACAGACTTATTTTCAGCTTCTTCTCCCCGAAAATGTGCCCTGCTAACTGCCAGCCATTGGTTTCTAAGGGTATGTCTACACTGCAACATTATTTTGAAATAACTAGCACTATTCCGAAATAACTTAGTCCACATCTACACAGCAGGCAGTGAACCCTAACTGTTCACACCACAATAAAAAGTCCTTCTCCTGTTGTCCAAACTGACTGCTACTTGCCCTTTGCATGTCATTGTGCACTGAACACAATACTCCTGTTTATCTTCCATTATCCAAATTTCCACATTATTCAGGTGTCTTCCTAGTCTTGCAGTGTGAAATACATAAGATATGTGCCCTCTGCAGCATGTATTTCGTACTTGGAGACTGGGAGGGATTCAGATAAATGTAGAGGTTTGGACAACAGAGCAGAGACCCCTACGAGGAGGAGGAGCCCCTGGCCACAGTAGAAACCATCACTTAATTATCTTGAACCTCTTGATTATCTGAATTCTTGATAATCTGAACTCTTGATAATTTCAGTAAAATACATGGCCCACCTGCCATTTGAATAATTGGGAGCATACAGCATTCTGTTCCCTGCCATATTTTGCTGGTATCTATTCTGCCACCTGCCTGCCTCTCTTTGCCCTACAGTAGCTCCATGCAACTTCCCTGACTAACATCTGTGCAAACTAGAGTTAGTCCTAGATCTAGTCCCATCAGGAAACACATTAAATCCCCCTTTTCATATACACATAACTTTATCAAAATCCCTTTTGAGGTAAAATTTTCCATAGTATCAGACATTCATAGTTATTTTTAAAAAGTTGCAGAAAAATCCAATTGGGCTATTTTTTAGTTTTAACTACACATTTTACCTAGATATAGTTCAATGACTGGCACAAATTGATCAAACTTGGATTGTTTTGCAGATCTCACTAAGAAGCAGCAACCCAAGTTTGAAGAAAATCAGTTCAGCAGTTTTATAATTATGAGGACTGAACATTTTTCACTTGTGTACAAAAGGATTTTATGTTAGATTTCATTGCTAGTTGTGAATCTGAAAATGTTGAGTTTGAAAGCAGTGAACCCAATCTCCACTTTCTTCTAGATCATTATGAAATTCATTATACGTTAAACATTGTAAAACAAAAATTTACTCATAAACATTATTATAAGTCAGCTGACATACAATTATCAGTTAATTTATATTTTATACCAAACAACTTAGGAAGATTTTTTTGAGTATACTGGGAAAAGATGGTATTTACAGTTTTTATTCAAAGAAAGAAAAAGTGTTAATGCAACATTCATTTGAAGACTGGAACCATTCTAAAATTAATAAGAAAAACCCAGAGTCAATAAAATACCTACAGTTTTTTGTGAAATAAATTGTGTCCTTCAATAGGACACAATTTGTAAAGACACTAGTGAGACATACAGTAAGTTCCTTTGAGCAGGAGAGTACAGAGAAACAACATGGCAAATACCTTCTCAATCCACTGCTCTAAGTAGGTTGTCACAATAATTCTGGGCTTAATTACCTATTTACTTTATTTTTAAAATAAATAAGTAAATTCCATGCAGAAAGTTAATAGACTGTGCATGGCTCTCATGCCACATGTTCCCTGCCAGGAAGCCACTTGCCTGACCCATATATACCCTTTTGTTTTAAGCCCATATTATCATGACAACCTACTTAGAGTAACAGACTAAGAAGATAGTTGCCATGTTGTTTCTATGTACTCTCCTTGTTCAGTGGACCTCACTGTACGTCTCACTAGTGGCCTTACAAATTGTGCCCTATTGAAGGACACAATTTATTTTAAAAAAACTGCAGATATTTTATTGGCTATAGGTTTTTCTTTTCTTTTCTTTTTTTTAATACTTTTCTCTGAAAGGGAAAAAAGGGAAGTATTCCCAACAGCAAATCAACTTTTTAATGGAATTTAAATGCCGTATTTCAGTTGTAATTCTGAGGTGCATCACATACAGCTCAGATTTGCAAATCTAC